CCACTAAGAGTTTGCTCCTCGGGCCAGTTCTCAATGTGCCAGACAAGGAGACTGGAGAGTGATGACGCTTGTGCTTCAATCCCTGGTTTGCTCCAAATGGCAGGATGCAGACACCCACCAGATTCTTCTTCCTCACCTGTGGCTGATGTTGTACAGCTGCAACAGACACAAAAGCACCTTAGAGTTGCGCCAGTGGCTCCTGGTACCAGCTAGGAATGGGTGGATATAGTCATTCAGACCGTACACAATGATCAAATGTTCTCAGCACTGTTTCTCCTGAGATTTGTCACCCCGGCATTGCCGTGAAGCTCCAACCGGAAGCATAAGATCTGGGAACCCGAGGCACAATCCAGACCAAGATGGATCACTCACAGCAATGACTAAGCTGGAGACCTTGACATTCCAGATAGGAAGTCCACCACCAAGCTTCGCCTCCTCCATGCAGTCCCCAGCTGGCTGATTCCTAACATCTCATCATTTCTAATAAGCCCCAATGGCCCCCTTGCATTCCAGATTCAGTACTGATGAGAAAAACATGCAAAACATACTTCAGTGCTTCCACTGGGGAAAAAAAATCAGAACAAAATTCAAGCAGCTCTGGGAGGAAATGGAAAGTGGGGAGAGGGAGGGAGAGAGGGAAAAGAATCGAGACACCTCCAAAGCACATCTTGTCAAGGTAGACGCTGCGGGACGGCTGCGTTTTCAGATTGAACAGCATGCCTCTTCCTTTGTAAAGCCTTGTACAGAGAGCAGATGAAACAGCAGCAATTTGCTCGGTGCACAGCTGGGATCGAAAGCGAGACTTAAATCCTTAAGTGCCATCATTTGCAAAACAATTAATGTAACGTGGTGGGTAGGAGACTGCAGCTGGCAGCCTAAGCTTTCTCATACATAGATATTTTGTTGGCTTAAAGCACCAAAGTGCTATTATGGCAGAAAGCATATCTCCCCCATAACCAACGTTGGAAACGGTAGGGGTCGCGTGTTTATCTGAATCATAAATGTCACAACGTCGTAATAGCGGCAATGCGGGGAAACCACAAATGGCACTAAAACGGACAAGACAGGATGCAGATAGCATTCTGTGAGAAGGAAAAAAATATGTGAAGGTACCTAGGTTGGGGTGGAGGTGGAGGTGGCAAACACAATTAGGGCCACTTCCATTTCACCTGAAAGAAGGGGACCAAAAGAGTAGCTGATTTGCATTTATGCCTACAAATGCAAAATTTGGGGCAGTTTTCCTAATTGAAGCAGAATTTCAATGCATCTCAGCCGAGATGGGAAGGCTGTCATTGAGTCACCTGTATGCCTACAGTTGAGTCTACTGTCCAGGTATTGCTTGCTAAGGGGATGACCAAAAGAGGGAGCAGGTCTAGAAGCGACTTCCCAAGAGGAAAAGTTGAAAGAGTTGAATGGGTGCATCCTATAGAAAAGAATTGATGCTTTTGAATTGTGGTGCTGGAGGAGACTCCTGAGAGTCCCTTGTACTGCAAGGAGAACAAACCTACTGTATCCGTTCTGAAGGAAATCAGCCCTGAGTGCTCACTGGAAGGACAGATCCTGAAGCTGAGGCTCCAATCCTTCGGCCATCTCATGAGAAGACTCCCTGGAAAAGACCCTGATGTTGGGAAAGTGTGAAGGCAAGAGGAGAAGGGGACGCCAGAGGACGAGATGGTTGGACAGTGTTGTCAAAGCTACCAGCATGAATTTGACCCAACTCTGGGAGGCAGTGGAAGACAGGAGGGGCTGACGTGCTCTGGTCCATGGGGTCACGAACAGCCAGACAGGACTTAACGACTAAACAACAACAAAAGAGAAAAGAGAAACAGGAGCACAAGAAAGCTGCATTGTGCTAAGTGAGGTTGTTGGTCCATCTATCCTAGTATAGCTAATCCTACATAGAGATTCCTGTCAGTTTCCTGTTCAAATACTACCAACCCGTCCTCTGACCTTACTAACTTTCAAACTCAGCCAAGATTTGGGTGTGTTCTCAGGAAATGGGAGTACACATGGTACATGAAGGTGCTCTTCAAACATCTGAGACTGCCACAGTGAAGATGCTGCTACAGACTTGCCCTCTCTCACACAAGTTGGACAGAAATGGTATGGAAACACTTTGATGAGCCTTGTGGCGCAGTGTTTAAACTGCTGTACTGCAGCCAATACCGTGCTCACGACCTGGGGTTCAATCCCAGGTAGCCGGCTCAAGGTTCACTCAGCCTTCTATCCTTCCGAGGTCGGTAAAATGAGTACCCAGCTTGCTGAGGGGGGGGGGCAATGTGTAGCCTGCATAATCTACTTCTAAACCGCCCAGAGAGTGCTTGAAGCATTATGGTGTGGTATATAAGCAGCACATTTTGCTTTGCTTTTACTTTGGCAAAAATACATTTCCAGCAAGAACTTATATGGTGTAGTAGCGTATTACACCGTGACTCTGGAAACCTGAGTTCCAACCCACTCTTGGCCAAGAAAATGTACTGAAAGCAGGCAATGGTAATCCACTCCTTGAACATCTCACTTACCTTGAAAGCCCCATGAGGGGTTACCAGCAGTTGGATGCAATTTGGTAGCACATGAAAAACATTAACCATAAGGGCGACCTCACAGTGCAACAGATTGTCCTTGGAGGTGAGTCAATCTCCTTTGGCAGTCACTGATGAAGAGGAGGAAAGGCCATCCTGACAGGCATGCTTATACCTCCATCGTATAGGGCAGACGTTGCAAGGTGGTCCCTTCCGACCTTTATCGTCCTATGAATCTTGGGAGCTTCCGAGTCCTTCCCTGTGGCTTCAGCATCGGAGAACAACTGGCTGGTGGCATCACATGAGGGGTTGACACAGATGGCAGATCCAACTCCCAAGACCTTGAGAGTTTGACCTCTGCAGGCATTCTTTCCCTTCGAGTCTTTTTGGATGAGTTGCTTTTTTAAAATTGCATTGTTGATGCTGTTTTACAACAGTAGAGTTTTGTTTTACTGTCGTTATTCACCTCACACCTGCGTGGCAGGGAAAAGCAGGAGACACAGCCGACAATTCAGACATTTCACAGTAGTTCCTTTAACAGCAGATGTCTTGAACCTTTGTCACTCCGTGTGAACGTATGTTCCTCTTAGAAGACAAGCATCGTGGCAGGGAAAAGCAGGAGACACAGTTGAAAATTCAGACATTTCACAGTAGTTCCTTTAACAGCAGATGTCTTGAACCTTTGTTACTCCGTGTGAACGTACCTTCCTCTTAGAAGACAAGCATTTTAGAAACAGGTAAGACAAAGCTCTCGACCCCGAGTCACTTTGGAATTAAGCAGCTGTAAATCTAAGCAACAAGACGTAATATGTGTTGTGCCTTTTCCTGTCACCTCATTTTCCTAGCACATGCAAAGCAAGCTTCTTAGAATAATGGCACCCCACTTTGCAGAGAATAAGGACCCATCTATATGTAGACCTAAAGTAGCAGTGGGCAAAGGGAACCTCCCTAGATGGCCATTCTAACTAGAAAAGCAACATATGAGGAGGACTCCTGGGAGATACAGTGCAACAGAACCAGGAAGGTCACCCTCTGCCCACCTCTGGAGCTCCAGAGAGCAAATGCTACCAATCCAGGTCCTTTGCCCCTTGTCAGAAGGAATGCTCAGCATACCCCCTTGGAAAGCTCAGCATAACCCCTTGGAAAGCTTCTGTTTCTCACCACCACTGATGTGGTGCAATTGCCTCTTTCCTGCCCGCCCCCACTGAATTCACCAGGAAGTGCACAATCCAATATTTGGAAGTCCGGTAGCTAAGCCATCCTCTTTTCTGGGAAGCCATGGATGCTTTCTTCTACACTAGCAGTGCAACTCATGTCTGCATAACAAAAATGACTTGGAAATTAAACAGAGTATCCTCCCGGGTGAAGGATATGGTTTCAACCCTCTGTGACTCATATACACATTCTCCCCTTTCGTCAACCAAGAGCATAGAAATACAGATGGCGCTGCTACTACCATGGTTCAACATTAGAGCAAATGTTTGCAGGTGAAAGGTTGAGAAGTCCTATTGGGATGCAGTTTCAGTAGCATCCCTGTAACAGATGCATCGATCCAAGCTCTCAGTCCGAAAGGCAAACTACAGGCTTTGAGTATGTCTGCTCCCAACTGTTGCGAGTCTTAACAGTCTTACTTTGCCGTGAATTTGTCCTCCTGTTCTAC